TTGTTGGGATCGTTGTGTGTGAAACATGTTATAATTCAGCATGTGATTTATAAGATATAACGGCCCATATCTGGTCTCAAGTAATAGAGAAAAATATTGGATAAACAATGTAATATTTATATTGCAAGTTTTTATAATATTTTGAGTGTTTTGCATCATTTAATTGTAACTTTGGACGAAAACACAAATGCACGTCTGTACATGTATAGCGAAATTCTCTATTAATCAGTTGAAACTGTTTATATAGCAATAGAAGTTCTGGTGTTAAAGATTGTCATTTCATCAGTTGATGTAATCGTGAACGTAAGGTGATGTCAATCGTGAAAGAGTGTTATTCAATCGTAATGAGTATATGAAGGTTAATAATACGGTACTTTAAAAAATAATGTGGCTAGTTACGTATATCTTTTGATTTCACATGATTAATTGTATATATGTATGGTATATGATACTTGAAAATAGTTTCACACCCTTGAAAACATATTAACGCAAATCGAGGAATTCCTCATCAATATAAAAAAAAGATTGCTTTCATATCAAATTAAAATGTAGAGTTTTTATGTCTTGTTTATTTTTTCCGGTTTATATAACATATAAATAATTCAAACCATCAAATATTCAGCTCAAAAATAAATAAACATGACAGTATTGTTAGCTCGATGTACGTAAGTTTTCATCAATAGGTAACAGAAGCTTAGACGTTTTATCTGTGATATGCAAGCTTCATAATATCAGATCTCCATTTAATTTTCCATTTTATTTAGTTCTGCCTATTGTTTTCCCGTTCAGGGCACATGCATTTTTCAATTGGGGACCATACGCCGCTTTTCATGGAATGGCACTACTGTGTCACATTGAAGGTTTCATGATAATTGTCCGTATGAACACACATTTTTGGCAAGGGTTTTTTTAAATTTTCAAAATTTTCACCTTTATTTTTTTAAATTTTGGGTAATTTATTTAAAGCCGGTACTGGGGGGCCGTGGAGGGAATTTTGTTTTTTCCATTTTACCGTCCTTTAAACAGGCTCAATTTTCAAAACCGAGCCTGCAACATTTTAAATTTTCCCCAAATGTTGGGTTTTTCTTTGGGGATTTTTTGGTTTTTCTCTATTTGACAGTTTTTGGTTAGCTAGTTTTGTACGCAGGGTTTTCCCACCCAAGGGGTTAACAAAAAGTTGGTTTGATCCCTTTAAATTTGTTTGAGGGAAAAAAAATTCAATACCAGGGGGTTTTTTCAAAAGGGGGAAAAAGGGGAAATCCCCATGCTCTTTATGCTGTTTATTTAATTAGTGTTTTTATCATACCAAAGTTTAAAGGAGTAGTGATTTTTAAGAAGTAGTGATTTTCAAGTGCGTATTTTTATTACAGTTCATGTAGTGATTTCCGTGTGTGTAAAATATTTATCACGTGACAATGTAGTGATTTTCCAGTGTGTAATCCAAGCAGTAGTGATTTTCAAGTGTGTATCGTTATTAAAGTCCATGTAGTGATTTTCGGGTGTGTAAATGATTCACCACGTGACCATGTAGTGACATTCCTGTGAAATCAAAATTATTTTCTATTGATCATTTCTAAGACGAATCACCCACAATGGTTATTATTTATGCCTTTTGAATGCATTGCCGAATTTATACACGTCCAACGTTGAGCGGAAGGTACTGTAGTGATATTCCGGGTAGAAGTTGGTGTAGTGACTTTTACCCATGAACACGTATGTGTGCGTGCGGCCGGGTTTGGGGGTGGGGGTTTTGTAATTATTTAAATGAACTTAAAAAAATCTTTTTGGGGAAAAAAAACTAGTCCCAAATTTTTAAACCCAAATTGGCAAAGATTGATCTTTTGTTTAAGGGTTCCAAAAATTGTTTTAAAGATTTTTTAAATTTTTTTTTCATGCCCGGAAAACTATCTGCCATGGCAACCCCAAAAGGAATTTTTAAAAAATTAAAATTTAAAAAAATCTTCTTTTTAAAAACACACAAAGGGCCAGAGCTAGATATTTTTCGTTTAAACCCTTTTCCTGGTAGACCCCTACCAAGGGTTTTTTCAAATGAAGTCCTTTGGGTCCCAAAATTTGGCCCCCACTCCGGGGGGGCATTTATTTTCATATGTAAATTTAGGTTTTAAAAATTTATTAAAAACTTTTGTCTGAAGGTTTTAGAGCTTGAATTTTTGGTATATGATATCATCTATAGATCCTCTACAAAATTGTTAAATATTTGCCTCTAGTGTCAAAATTAGGCCTGCCCCGAGGGATTTATAGGTTTTCCATATATATGTATATAGTAAAAACTTTAAAGTCTTCTTCTCCGAATTGACATAGGCAAGAGATTAGATTTTCTTGCACGAAACGTTGTGTAGTGGACCTCTACCAGGATTGTTCAAATTATAGCCCTGGGGTCAGAATTGTGTACAAAAATATTATAGTAAAATCTTTCAAAATCTTCTCGTCTGAAAATTCAAGGCTTAGAGCTTTGATATTTGGTATATAATATTTGCCCCTGGTGTCAAAATTGGCCCTGCCCCGGGAGTCATAGGATTTTCTTATATGTATATAGTAAAAACTTAAAAAATCTTCTTCTGAATTGACAAAGGCTAGAGTCTATAATTAGATATTTTACATGAAGCATTGCGTAGGGGACCTCTACCAAGATTGTTCAAATCATTGCCCTGGGGTCAAATTGGCCCCGCCAGGCTGTCATTGATTTTCACTATGTAAAAATTGTAAAAACAGAAATTTTAACAAATATTTTCTGAATAGGAGAAAACTAGAGCTTAGATATTTGACATTGTCTGGTGGACCTGTATCAAGATTGTTCGAATTCCACCCGTGGGTCTACATTTTGCCCTGCCAAGGGTCACAGTGACCTACTTTCTTGTCATTTGATGTACATCCATGAAATTTGGACCATGTACAAAGTTTGAGATGTAAAATTGAATTATATTAATAGCTGACTTAAATTAGAGTTAAACATGTGACCCTCTTGCATGTCCTTCGATATACAGATATGCAATGTTGACCATGTGCACAGTTTTAGATGTAAAATTGAACTTTGATATCAGCTGGCCTAGATGTTGATGATATGACCTTCTTTCTTGTCATTTGATGTACAGTCATGAAATCAAGGTCATGTGAAATATGACCTTTTGACCACCAAATTTACTAGACTCAACTGCATTATTGCAAAGTTCAATTTTATAGAAACAAAAAAAAAACACACTCTCTCCTCCTATACTACTATTTTTGTTGTATTATATAATGCGTTGGCGTAGCATTTTTTTACAAATGCAATCTTATTTTTCTGTTTCTTTCTTTTATTTTTAGAAATATCCGAAGATGTCGCCCGGCCTGTGTTATATCCTGGTAACTAACGAGTTTCATACATCATAATTGTTTTATCACAATATAATTATTTGATGAAACAGAAACAGCAAAAAGAAATATATTCAGTGTTTTCCCTCTCTTGTGCCTTTTCACTTGTCTTTCAAATGTAAACCCCAGACAAAATGAATCAATACCAGCTAATGCAATCGGAACGTCTTTGGCTATTATCTATAATAACCTCGGAAACAATACGAAGTGAAATAGTTCTTCCACGTGGTCTCAGATGTAAACAGAAACAGCTAGAGTTAAATTTGAAACGAATGTATATATATTATTTTACATCCAAAGGAAAATAAAGTATGTTTCGGTACAATTATGATTGAAAATATGACTGACAAAACTTTTAAATTATAAATGCCCACTGATGTACATTTTTAAACAAATCCGACTTAATGTCAACAGGTTTGCATTTTATACTTTCGGTTTCTACAACCATAATAATAAATATATGAATAATGTAATGTTTGCTTTTGTATCTATGAATTCACTTATTTTAGGCGGACTTTTACTTGATATATTGGAAATAAACTTGTCAACAACTCCAAGCTAAAAATTAATATTTGTTTACATATTTAGTTTCTTAGCGTAGGTTAGACCTAAATACCGTATCCTTTCTGTGTATTCATACTATTGTGTTCGATGTCCTTATCCGAAGACTGTCGGAAAGGGCCGAAAAGTTGCGATTGCCAAGTCTTTAATGAAAATTGCCGTCATATTGGCGATTTAATTGAATAAAACAGGTGCTCTAACTAAGACGCCATTGTGACGTCATAGTAACCATGCCTGTAAAAAATGTCCATTTTGAAAATGTAACACATTGTAAAGAGCTAGGTCCATTAAACACCAAAAAATAGCCCCATCTTATATAGTGATAGAAACATAAAGGTGTATAGTAAATGCGTCTTACAGCACCTGTTTAATTCATTTAAATCCCCAATTTTTACAAAATCCCAGCGGTCACATCTCAGTTCTTTCACACTTGCGGAGACTTCTAGTTTAAATATCTACATATTACTTGAAATCATTGTAATCCTTTAAGAGTAAATAATTCCTAATACATGTGGTACCAAGATTTTATATTTGGTGAAAAATTGTTGAAGTTAAGGTTGATATACATGTATAATATGTATAAGGTTATTAAAGGTTAAAAACATTTTATAATGAACAGTTATTCCAAAGTGATTAACAAAACATATATACACAACAAACGTACATATAATAAATGACATAGGATAAATAGATAAAAAGAAAACAACACAATTTATCAAAACATTTTTTTCAAAACATATGAGATACATTAGGTTTGCCAAACATACGTTAAACATGTGGTGCATTTTGACCTGTGTAGTCAAAGATTTCTTATCGATTGAAAAGAAGTCTTGGTGAATTTTATCTCTTTTTTATGAAATGAAGTAAATAAATATTCTGACTGCTTATCTATTCTGAAACTTAGTGTTGAAACTTCATTTTGTAAATACTTGCTATATTTTAGGCAATTTGCAACCAAAAATCAATATCAAAAATATCAGTCAAATTTAAATTAATATAGTAAGAACATAAAGCGTAAACTCTTACTTATATTTCAAATCAGAAAGTGTATCTTATATTTCAGGAAAGTCATGGCTGTCCCAGGTAAAAAAGCCACTAAACAATTTACATTGTCAACAACCTCCATATGTTCTGAGGAAGATCTTAAAGTTTACTGCCAGCCATGTGATCGGGATGGTCCTAGACTTCCTGCTCATGGCTATTGTACAAATTGCTCAGAACATCTGTGTGAAACATGCTTTACATTTCATAGAAGACATACATTGTCCAGACACCATACTTTACAAGACAAAACTAGCATGCCTCAGACCATGTCACCCGCAAATCCAGGACAGCTAGATAGTTTCACAAAGCCATGTCCTAAACACAACATAGAAATGATCAAGTTTTACTGCCATGATCATAGTGCTCTAATTTGTAGCGTTTGCGTAACCCTTGAGCACTCGGCAACTTCTTGCAAAGTCAATTACATACCTGATATTTCTGGCGAGACCATCAATAGCAAAGAATATCAAAATATATTGAAGGCTATCATTGATCTGACAGAGAGATCTGACACAACACTTAAAGACAAGAAGAAATGTTTTGCAGAATCAAACAAATCTTTGAAAGATGTATTGACAGACATAAAGAAATTCCGAACAAGAATCAACCGAAGAATAGATGAACTGGAAAGACAAGTCGTGGAGGCTGCAAAGGTTATTCAAAATGACAACAGCAAGAATTTGACTGAAATAGAAACAGTATATGGAGATTTGTCAAAATCATTAAAATCATTCTCGGATGATATCAAACATTTCAATACATCCAAAAAAGCCAATGATTTGTTCATAGAATTAAAACATGCAGAACAGATGATTAAACATTATGACCAGAGCGTTGCTAAGCTCTCGGAATCTGAAGTGAAAACATACACCTTTCAACCTAATAAGGCCATATCAAGTCTTTTTGACAAAGAGAAGTCAATAGGAATATTGAAAGGTACAGCATTAAACCTTCATACTAAGTCTAGACAGTACTCACATAAGGAAAAGATCTGTATCAAAACATCACGGGATAACAAATCATGCCTAATAGCAGGAATGACTTTCCTTGCACCTGATCTTCTTATTATTACAGATTATGAAAACATTGCCATAAAAATTATTGATTTAAGCGAAAAGTCTGTTTTAGTTCGACAATGTCTTCGTCTTGACAACTGGAATCTCACATCATCTTCAAAACATGAACCTTCTTTTCAACTCAGGCAGAATTATCTGCCTCTCCCCGGGAGTAAACCTTGGGATGTCACATTAGTATCACAAAATGAAATTGCTGTGACACTTCCACTCAGGCAAACTATTCAATTCGTGTCTGTCTCTAGAAAATCCCTCACGAAGAAGCACAATTTGAAAGTTGATGGAAACTGCTTTGGTATTAACTGTCATAAAGATAGAATGGTGGTGTCATTTTCGAGGCCTGGTAAAATTCAAATTCTTCTCATAGACGGGACTGTATTACTGACAATTCGAGGTGAAAATATTTTCAAAAATCCACTCTATATTACATCAAATGACAATTGTATCTATGTCTCCGATTCTGAGATGAAAACAGTTACCAAGTTAAATTGGCATGGTGAGGTGAAAGGTAAACATGTTTGTACAGAAACGCCATTAGGTTTGTCAATGACAGAAGATAGTTCTGTGTTTGTATGTTACAGTACCAATATGATCATAGAAGAGATATTAGGAGACTGCACTAAAGGACGGGTTGTTGTAAAGGATACACGACGTTCTAATGCTCTCTATTGGTCTACTGAAACATGCACATTGTACACAAGCACCCGGTCTTATAAAGAAAATGATACAGAAGACAATAACTATATACACATCCTCAAATTCTTGTAATAAGAATAGAAGGAGTACATTGTTATTTAAAGTGTCTAACCTTCCTACGTATCAGTTTGAAATATGATAATGTAGTCGAGGGCTGTGTGATGATCGTTGTTGTGAAATTTAATAAAAAAAACTACTTAGCGGTTTTTATTTAAAGAAATGTTTGATAAATCGTGAAAAGGTCACCTCTGAACACTTTGTGGTCTGTGTTCAGATAAGATAATTCAACATCAAAGAATTTAACATGTATTGCAGTACTTGTACAAACAGTGCGTGTGTTTTTTCTGCCTATGTAGATACTTATTATTCTTCTAGGCACGACTGTTTGTTATTGTTTGTTTTTTGTGGAAAATCATATTTTCATAGATGCAAGGTTATCTATTTATGACGTATATTATTCGTTAACATTTTTTATAAAAAATTGTGGGTGGTGACCCCTATTTATAGCTTTATTTGATGTGGCAAAGAGGGCATAATTATTGATTGATTGATTGGACGCTCCCGCGGTAAAGACAAGTTTAAGAAACCTTCGATAAGATCAATCATGGCGGCGCCCACTTCACAAAAGATTCAAATATTTGGACTATTTTAATTCCTCGTATTTAATAAAGAGATTTATTGTTTCCTTAATCTAGGACCAGTGCATTATTATAAATGTCTCGTGAATGTTTACACAATGTGCTTTGAATGTACTTTCTGAAATTGATTTTAATAGAATAAATGTATTGAATGAATGAATGAATGAATGAATGAATGAATGAATGAATGAATGAATGAATGAATATAAGTTCTTGAACTTTTTTAATGTGACATGATGAATATTTTCTGATTTTTTGGTCAATGTTATATGATACGTGTGTAATTAATGTTTAGTTTATTTGACGTGTTAAATGTTCACTTGGATCAATTTTATATCATGCCCTTTGAACACATAGCCAATGTTAATCGACCGTCTGAAAATGACCATGCTAATGCCATTATAATTCCGATACTTGCCGGACATGTATTTTGTATGATCTGTCATTACAACAGAAAATATGACGAACATTGAAATGAAGTCAACATTGTTCTTATTTTGATTGTTTTTGTTGTTGTTTTTAGTGTGTGTGTGTGTGTGTGCGTGTGCGTGTGCGTGTGCGTGCGCGTGCGCGTGTGCGTGTGCGTGTGTGTGTTAACAAACTAAGAAATATCTATAGATACTGCTAACAATAAACTCTTACAAAAGTAAAACTTAATATTTTATATCACTATATAGTATATAGATTTGTTAATGTACCATAGCAGAGTCTTATTGTCTATATACCTGTAGTTCTATCTGTTGTTTTACCCAAACACCTAACATAACAGTCATATGTTCCAACTCTGGGCACAACAAGGCCAATTTCCAATCTCAGAAAAAAAGGAACATGTTAAAACAAATACTGATTAAACAGGATGGGTATTTCAGTGTGGTATGTTAACCCTAGCATTGATAACGCTCATGAATTAAAAAGACACCCAGAAAGTCCAAGCAACGGTTAAACTAATGTTAAATACGGCCAAATATAATTTTAAAGCCTTCTTGAAGCGATATACAGCCTTTCAATGTAATCTTTTCTCGGCATTATGCCACATAACCAATTATTTCTTCTGTTTTTCTTCCTTTTTTTATTTATTTTTTGAAGTTCAGAAGAAGCTAATTTTTGCAATCTGTCGATGACAGCAAATGTCATTGAACCCTCCTTTAAATCAAGTGTCAAACTTTTACGATTGTTGGTTATCGGTGAGTGGTTTCGATTGACGCTGTAATACACGGTGTTTTTCTTCATGTTATTTTGTTTTTATTTCCCTGGTAAAATTTTATCAATACCAATAACTACACTGAAATATGTGTCATTTGATAAATAAGACGGGACTTCTTAACTTCAGATATTCACCATTACATCTTAACTTCATATATGCAACAGTACATCTTAACTTCAGTTTTTCAACATTACATCTTAACTTCATATATTCAACATTACATCTTAACTTCATATTTTCAACAGTACATCTTAACTTCAGATATTCACCATTACATCTTTACTTCATATATTCAACATTACATCTTAACTTCATATTTTCAACAGTACATCTTTACTTCATATATTCAACAGTACATCTTTACTTCATATATTCAACAGTACATCTTTACTTCATATATTCAACAGTAAATCTTAACTTCAGTTTTTCAACAGTACATCTTAACTTCATATATTCAACAGTACAGCTTAACTTCAGATATTCACCATCACATCTTAACTTCATATATTCAACAGTACATCTTTACTTCATATATTCACCATTACATCTTAACTTCATATTTTCAACAGTACATCTTTACTTCATATATTCAACAGTACATCTTAACTTCAGATATTCACCATCACATCTTAACTTCATATTTTCAACAGTACATCTTTACTTCATATATTCAACAGTACATCTTAACTTCAGATATTCACCATTACATCTTTACTTCATATATTCAACATTACATCTTTACTTCATATTTTCAACAGTACATCTTTACTTCATATATTCAACAGTACATCTTAACTTCAGATATTCAATATTACATCTTTACTTCATATATTCAACATTACATCTTAACTTCAGTTTTTCAACAGTACATCTTTACTTCATATATTCAACATTACATCTTAACTTCAAGTTTTTCAACAGTACATCTTTACTTAATATATTCAACATTACATCTTAACTTCAGTTTTTCAACAGTACATCTTTACTTCATATATTCAACATTACATCTTAACTTCAGATATTCAATAGTACATCTTAACTTCAGTTTTTCAACAGTACATCTTTACTTCATATATTCAACATTACATCTTAACTTCAGATATTCAACAGTACATCTTTACTTTCATATATTCAACAGTACATCTTAACTTCAGTTCTTCAACAATACATCTTTACTTCATATATTCAACATTACATCTTAACTTCAGTTCTTCAACAATTCATCTTTACTTCATATATTCAACATTACATCTTAACTTCAGTTATTCAACATTACATCTTTACTTCATATATTCAACATAACATCTTATTCATATATTCAACAGTACATCTTTACTTCATATATTCAACATTACATCTTAACTTCAGTTTTTCAACATTACATCTTTACTTCATATATTCAGCATTACATCTTAACTTCAGTTTTTCAACAGTACATCTTTACTTCATATATTCAACATTACATCTTAACTTCAGTTTTTCAACAGTACATCTTTACTTCATATATTCAACATTACATCTTAACTTCAGTTTTTCAACAGTACATCTTTACTTCATATATTCAACATTACATCTTAACTTCATATATTCAACAGAACATCTTTAGTTCATATATTCAACATTACATCTTAACTTCAGTTTTTCAACATTACATCTTTACTTTATATATTCAACATTACATCTTAACTTCAGTTTTTCAACAGTACATCTTTACTTCATATATTCAACATTACATATTAACTTCAGTTTTTCAACATTACATCTTAACTTCATATATACAACATTACATCTTAACTTCAGATATTCAACATTACATCTTAACTTCAGTTTTTCAACAGTACATCTTTACTTCATATATTCAACAGTACATCTTAACTTTATATGCTCAACATTACATCTTAACTTATTTCATATATTCAACATTACATATTAACTTTATGTATGTAACAATACACCTTCAATTCGTATACATTTTGTTTGTATTGAACATTGCATCTTCAAGAAAAATGAATATCAACTTCAATAATTCAGGATTGAAAAATAATTATTGAAATCATGGTTTCAGTTTTATGAAACGATTTCATCTCAGATTGATTGTTTACATTTAATGAATTAAAATCGTGAATGCGTAAAGAAAATATATGAAATTTACTATTCATGATACCGATATTGTAAATTTATGAAGATGAAGTTGTTTAATTGAAAATTCATCGAGTTATAATAATGAATTCATTTTAACAACTGTTTTAAATGTTGATAATAGAAATATATCAAAGCAATCTAATTAAAATCAGCTCCTAATTAACGCTAGGCATTAGGCAAGAAATTACTTAAGTTGATCTGAACTTTAGTCAGATTGGATATAATTATTTCACTGTCAAATGATACAAACCGAACAAATTGTCTATAAATATAGAAAATGCATTAGTCCATTGTGTTTTATTAAAACATTGATTCAGTGATTGCACGTGATCAATGTAAGCAGACGTTTGTGATTTTAATGAATAAATCGTGTCAAAACATATTTCTAAAATCAAAACTGGCACGCAGTTATTAGAAATGGGTGAAAAATATCAGGAACAATGTGAGTGTGCTGAGAAAACGTACCGACATGTTTTACCAGGTAAATATTTCCTGAATTTTACTTTTTTAAATATAATCATAAATGAAGAAGAAAATATTAATTTGATGAGTAAAAATGTGTTTTACATTAAATTCTTAATAGGTGTTTTAACATATAAAGTATAGCTTGGTCAGTTAATCTTTTTACCGAATTTACTCTATTGATGTTTGTAAAGGTACAAATTGAAGGAAAGTAAAACAAGGTTTCTTATGGGTGTCTAAGATTTTGTTGTTGTTGGGTTTTGTGTGTTTATTCTCCTTGTTTTATTATGTTTTAAATGCCATTTTTCTGTTTCTTGATTTTATTTAAATCTTTTGTTTTTCAAAGCATAAAAGTAAATCACAAACTGATCTATTTATTCGCAGAATATATGAATTTGATTTTGTTTATAGAGATATCAAACTTTCATACATTTTGCATACTAATTTTGCACAGTAAATGGTTTCTTTTCTTATTTAATAAAGGGGAACACGTTTACGAAGATGTTCTGTTCTTCGGTTACACCCCTGCCGACATTCTGGACGCTGTGAAAGACTTCCAAGTGAGAAACGATGACGTCATCATAGCAACGTATCCTAAAGCCGGTAATCTTGACAATTATATATAGTTTGTGTTGTTTTAATATTCCTCGGCTATGAGTTAAATTTGCGTTAATTTATGAAAAAATAGTACGGGGAAGCACGTATGTGTCCGGAAATTATTTTCGAGCGCGTCACGTGAGCAATTATATAACCATGCGTGCAAAATACGTTTTCTAGTTCATTATCATCAACAAAACGTAAACAATAACCCCGTGCAAATTACAATGTTAGATCAATATGTAACCTTTCATGCAGTGAAAATTGTCGAGTTCAAACGTGTGCATGTAAACCTATTTCAGGTCATTGTTTCTATTTTGTGGTAAGTAAATATGTAGGTCAATTTCGCATTAAGTTAACAACTGAAATTTCTGACTGAACATTTTCTTTGTGTATCATACGGTTAGAAACCGCATAATTCTTGTCACTCCTTGGCATCTGTTTTATTTGGTAATGTTTATTATAAAGGAAAACATATCATTATTGACGACATACCAATTTCTTCCCCCTGTGGCTGAGGGGTTGCCTTTATTTATTTTTTTTTGCATAATAATTGCAGCCACCATTTATCAGAGTCGACGTAAATGGGTTCGAATAACTTGCGTCTATGCATCTCTTAGCTGCAGCAGGTGTGGTGGTTTGACCCCTGGTG